ATCTTCCCCCTTTATTAAAGCAGGGCAGGAGCGAGCCTCTCACAGCATGGACTTCGTTATTATTTTAAGGAAAAAGGATCTGCAAATGTGATGGCTGGAGGGAGTTTGGGGATTTTGTTTGGGGAGGAGACAAAAGGAAATCTATCTGCACACAAAGCTTTATCGCAGCGAGGCTCAAGGTTAAGCCAACACGGCCGTCTTACCCTCAGCATGGGGACCTCAGTGTGTGCCACCAGCTCAGCTCCCAGAGGAGCTCAGCTCCCGTCCCATGGGAGCTGATGACCAGCTCATCCCCATGCACTGAGCCCTCTCCTTGCGTGGAGCTGCCCTCACGGGGCAGCCTTGGCCGAGCTGCTGCAGGCAGATGGGCAGCCCGAGGAGCCTGTCCTGCCTCCAGCCTGCCAGATGCTGCCTGAGCAGCACCCACGGTTTGCCAGATGACAGCGCGCTTCCCACCCCAATGGTGTCCCAGCCACCGGCTCCGGGGATTTCCATCGGTGCAAGGTTGGATGCTCCCAAGGGCTGTTGTTCCTGCTGCGGACAGTGTCTTCTTCTGAGCCGCCTCCTTTCTGCTCCTCCTCTCTCCTCCCAGTGGGATGAAGCGGTGATGCCACCCAGCCAGTTTGCTTCCTAAAGGATCCCGCATCCAGCCCTTGCTCTTCCCTGAGGCTTTTCACAACAAAAGAGTGCAGCCGAGCTCCCCTCTCCACCACACATACACCGCAGGAATGCAAACCAGCCTGCCTCAGGGATTGCCTGTGATGAAACTGGGTATGAAAAACAGGCTGGAGAAAAGCTCCCAAGCCTGACACTGGTGCTAAATCCTACTGGGGAGTGTCTGCAGGGCGTGTGCTGGAGGGTCCTTGTGGAGGTGACCTGTCCTGATGGGCTCGGTGCCTCCAGAACTGGTGCAGATGAACTTGCAACTGGAGAGCAGCAAACGGCAGGGATGCGCACGTACTGAAGGGTTCTTGTGTGTCTCAGGGGAAGCCTGGAAGGCAAAAAGGCTCTCGCTGTCCTCTGAGCGGCCAAGGTCATTCCTGGGAGCCGGGGCAGACGCTGGCTGCCACGTGGTTGATGCCCACAGCACCAAGGCGTAATTAACTGGAAAGATGGTCAAGCAGCACTGGATATGGGTAAGGAAAAGAAGGAAACAGCAGAGACGTGCCCGGATCAGGGTCTGAGGAGGATGCTCTTCTCGCCAGAGGTACTTCTCCATGCTCAGGTATTCAGCCCCTGGAGCTTGGACAGATGTGTGGGGAGAGGGGTGGGCTATGCTGCCTACCCAACCTCTCCTGGTTGTGCATGAGGGTACCGCAAGCTCCCCACGGCGCCTCTGCAGTGCCCCCAGACATCCTTCCCTAGCCCTCCACAGACAGATTGTGTTTGTTTCAGCTCAGCGGGCTCATTAGATCCAAGTGGAAGGGTCGATCCGATCAAACTTGGAAGCACAAAAATAAACGTGCTGGGTTCAGCAGATGGAGGGAACAGGCTGGCAATGGCAGTGCCCCACAGCAGGCGCTCGCAGCAGCTGCTCTGCAGCAGCCCTTGGACACACCTTCCCCATGCCATGGACCGTGGTGCTCCTGCCCCATGGCGCTGCACGGTGGGGATGCTGGTCATGGCCTGGGGATGGAGCTCTGGGGATGGAGCATCACATGCTGCTGGGTTTCTCCCTTTTGCTGCCCCATTGTTTTGCATCCCCAGAACCTCCCTGGCAGTGACCCAGGGTTTGAGTGTGCTTCCATCATAAACCTCAGCAGTGTGAATGGTTATTCCTCATCTCGAAGGAGAGCACTGGGAACAGAGGTGAATGAACCTGTGCACTACAATATAGCTGCTGGATGAACATTTTATGGGGTATTTACTTTGCTGAAGTACCTCTGGAGTTGAAGAACTGCTGAAATACATCTTCCCCGTCCTTTCCAGCTTATTAACACCCAAATCCAGCCTGACCCATCAAGGGAGCAGCAGTGCCTCTCCTCTGGAGAGCTTATTCCCTCTGCAGTACTGGGACTTGGGGAAGGAAGGAAGGAGCTGGTTGCTCAGACCCCAGCACCAGTGTTCCCAAGCATGGATCCTGCTGTATTTGTGTGCTGGACTCTGGCACTACTATTCCAGCATGGATTTTAAGTCCTTTGTGGGTGATTCCAGTGATCCTGGCAGCTCTCCTCAAAGGCTGCATTATGGCCTGATGTGTTCATCTTGCTGCCCAGAGTATGCTAATGAGAAACCAGAATTTCCTCAGGGAATGGTGTTGCACAAACCAAGTGCCATCTTGCCCAGAGTGCCCATCCCTCTGAGGTGGATGCTCTTGGGGCTGCTCTGGCTCCCAGACTGCTTGTGTGCTGGATAAGGAGGCCAAGAGTCTGGGCTTTAGGACATACAAGCTCCATCCTTGGGTGTTCTCCTGGTTCCCTGTGATCTTTAGCAAGTCATTACCCCTCTGTGCCTCATAGTACCTGGTTGCAAGGCAGATGTAGGGCTCGTCAGACACACCGGGGAAGGTCTTTTTACTGGTGTTGTACGGAAGTAGGATCTGTGGTGTGATGGAGCATTAACAGCAGGGGCAATACAACCCCTCTCTGCGTTGCATGTGGGCAACCCTGGGCAAGGCTTATGCCACTGTCCTCACTCCACTGGGAAATGACGGGGCTGGGATGAAACTTTCCATACGTACTTTGCAGTCTGGGAAAGCTCCTGCCACTGGCAAATGCTTTGGGGCTTGCCTCAGGGTCTTGTGGATACTGGGGTTGTCCAGGACACTGGAGCAAAGTTCTATAAGGAAAAGCAAGCAGGGCTTTGTGCTTTGCTTTGTAGCGGGTGACGTGCTCGGGATGAGGCAGTCACATCTGCACTCAGTGCCAGCTGTGTTTTAGAGGAATAGGCTCTGGTTAGTGTTTGGGACTGAGGGAGCCAGAATTGGAACCTACTGGAGACTGCCTTGATCCTGAGGAAAAGGGAAGCTGAGTGCGGGGAGACTGGCTCCTGGGCTGTGCCGGCTGGTGTGCACCATGGACGGGGCTTACCCTGAGGCTCTCAGGGTACCGCAGCCCCTGGTGCTCACAGCCCCTGTCTTTGCAGGGGTGGTCAGTACCTGCTTAGCACCTGGTGCAGAAACAGGAATTTTGAGCTCTTCTGTCTTATGAACTCAATATGTTTTCTTTCTACCCAAATGTCTTTTCTCCCTTACCAAGCCAGCTGTCTGACCAGCAGCAACTGACACAGCAAACTGCAGCAATGACCTTTATAGTGTGCTCTGCGAGGTCTCTCCAAATGCCCTCAAGAAGAACGCATCAGATGTTTGGGGATTTCTGCTGTGCAGGACAGGACACGGTTCAGCAGGAGATGCACAGGAGGGGCTGTGCTGGACCCACAGTAATGGTCACCCTGCAGACCTCCACATGCTGAGCCTCTGCAAGCAGTGACCTTAATGCTGGCCAGCAGAGCAGGCATGGGCTGCAGGACCAGAATCAGGGTGTCCCACCAAGGCTGAGAAGCTCAGCAGCTCACTGTGCCCCTGCAGCTGCAATAGGTCCTGCAAGCCCCCATGGCTGCTCAGGCTCTTTCAATGCTTTGATCTGAGCTCTTCTTGTCTTGCTGCTGTTCAACAGAGTACCCAGGAAAACGCTGGGCTCAGGTACTGCTCTCCCATCCATCACCAATTATTCTCTTTTCATTTGCTTTTTGGGCTTCACCTTTTTAATCCAGCCGTCTCCTGCCTTACAAATGTTCTTTCCTCAATTACTTACACCGACCTGCGGGGCTGTCTCCATTCACCTCAGGAGCACCACGAAGCTGTGTGCACTGAGCCAGGGCTTCGTCAGCTGAGTGCACAAGAACCTGTACCAGGCTGTGTGTGCTTTGAGGTCCTGTCCCATGCATTGGGCACGGTTGGGGTTGGAAGAACAGGTCATGCTTGAAGGAATGTGCTGAGCTGCCCTCGAGTGCCAGGACACACCACAGCCATCCCTGCTGTGCTGCTTCCCAGACTAGGAACCAGCTCAGACCGTTCCTGCACCAAGACTGCTTTATCCTCACTTCTTAATGCTCTTATCTTGAAGGCTCCCCTCAGATTAAAGCCCAGGCAGTCAGTTCCCTCCCTGGATTTATTTGCAATGCAGTTTTCTTCCTCTAATCTGATCTGAGTGTAAGCTGCTCTTTTCAAAGGGCATGGGGAGGACAGATGTGCATGTCACTGCCACAGTGAGATGCACTGACTGAAAGCAGCAGGAAGGTGCCCCGTTCTTTAGCTTGGTGGCACATCTGACTGTTTTGGCTTGGACCCCATTTCTCCTCTGAGCAGCTGTGTGATGTCCCACATACACCAACAGCCATAAAGAAAAAGGTCTGCTTTGGAGCAGGGTGAGTTCCTCACCGTGATGGAGTCTGTTGAGCTTCCTGGACACCCTCATCAAGCTGGAGCCCACTCTTTAGTCCATGGAGCCCCTGGAGTCAGGGGAACAGCACTGTCCATTGCAACAGGACCCCAGCGGGGGTATGGTGACATCTGGGGATTTGACCTCAGCAATGTGACTGCCACACATTCATGGTGCGTTGGTTGCTCCTCACGAGCTCGTGAGTCCATGGCCATGCTTGGAGCAGGGCTGGAGAAGCCAGGGACGGACTTGAATCCCTGCTGAGTTCCATCTTTGCCCCTGCCTCTTGGTTTGGTGAGGGACTGGGGAGCTGAGACCACTGCTGTCTGGATGGGTGGCTACCTGTGAGGGCTCTCCCAGTTCTTCTGGTGGGCATCCTGTGGGTCAGCTGCCCTTGGTGTGTTCTAGGGAAGGCAGGAGCACATGGGGAGCCAGGAAGGGCTGGTGCAGACATGTGCCTGTGGGAGATGCTGGGTACGGGGGTGCTCTGAACCTGAGAGGTGGTGACACATCTGGAGTCTGGGTGCCTCCAGCACTGGAGGAGGACGACTCTTCTGTGTCAGAGAAGGGACTGGGGTTAACCCATGCCTCCTGCACTCACACTTGTCTTTGCCTCCGCAGCCCAAGGAGCCTGCTGAGCACGGCCACAGTGCTGCTGCCTGGCTCTGCCCAGCCCGCAGCCAGCGCATGGACCACCACCGGCCCCCAGCTCGCGAATGACAGCAGAGGAGTCACTGCGGAGAGCAGCATCCGGACTGTGAGTGCTCCAGCAGGGCCTGAGGCAGGGATCCCGGTCCTCATCCATGGGGTTTCCTTGGGGAGAAAGGCCAGAGGAGCCTGTGGGTGCTGGGAAGCTCTGGGCTTCTCCTCTCTCAGGATGCTGAGAGAGGCAAAGAGCCTGAGCACTGAGCAGCAGCAAAGGTGAAGTACAGAGCTTTGGGTGACACGGTCTAGTGTGAGGCGTCCCTGCCCATGGCAGGGGGTTGGAACTGGATGATCTTAAGGTCCTTTCCAACCCTAACTATTCTGTGACTCTAAATACCTGCAGTAATGCTGGCAGGGCACATGGGGGGCTGTTGGGGTGCACAGGAGAGCTGATACAAGGTGCTGGCATGGCCCCAGTCTCCTGGGGCAGAGGGTGGCTGGAGGACTCTGTTACAGATGTGTCTGAGGTTGGGGAGAGCTGTGACGGTGTCTGCTCTGAGTGATGCTGTGATGCTGGGCAGGGTCCCCAACTTCCGTGGGCTGGGTGGGCAAGAGGAGGATGCAGATGCTTGACCCCCTCCAGCAAGCTGGAGGAGCATGCTTCTGCAGGGAATAGCTGCAGCCCTCTCAAGCACATGGAAGACCTGCATTTCTGCTCCAAGGAGGGAGATGAGCTTGTGCAAAGGGCAATTCTGGATTCAATCAGTGTTGTTGCAGATGCTAAGGTCCATTGGGAAGGAACTCGTTTTGAAAACAGCAGACACTTGAGAGGTGGTGAAAAAGCAGGGCAAACCTATGGAGGAATAAACCATATGCCCTCCCCATGTCAGGAAAGATCTCCTGCCATGTACTAGGATGTGACACTGGCTCCACCAGCAGCTCAGTCAAACCCATGGGGACAGGCATGGAGGTTGAGTATACACACATGGAGGGATGGGATGTGCACCTGGGAGCGCTACTGTCTTGGACTGAGGATCGAGGTCATGCACATCCACAACCTCATCCCCTTCGGCACTGCAGAAAAGACCTCCAGCCTTCCCCTGAACAGCACATGCACAAACAGCAAACGCTGCCAACACAAGCTGAGCACATGGGTTAGTGAGGACTGAGACCCAGCAATGCTCCAGGCAGCTCCCACCACTGCCAAGGACAGGGGCAGAAGGAAATGAAGTCAGATGGGCTTGAGTATATCCTGGATGTTCCACCCAGGAGGATGGGTGAAACAAAGCTGGTGCCTGACTTGGGAAGGGAGACCTGAGAGCAAATGGTCACAGTCCCCATGGGCACAAAGGTCCATGGTTGCACAGGGGAGAGTGATGTCCTTAGGGTAGGAGAACACTGGGAACACTCCTGGGTGTTGGGAGGCCTCCACACTGAGTTATTGCTCCTCTGCCATGAAACCTGCACACCACAGTGAGAGCATCAGCCCTGGCTGCCCTTCCTGCTGCCCCACGGCCCAGCAAGCATTCATCTGCCTCTCCCTTAACTGCAGTTGCTCGATTTCTCTCTGCATTTTGCTTTATGGAGGTAATACATGTTTGGTTTGAAGCACTTAATTACCTCTTGGGATGCATTTCATTTATTCATTAGGATAGAAATTGGAGTTGTTGGGTTTGCTATATATTTGGCTGTTTTTTTCTCTTCTTTTTATTTTCCCTTCTCTATTTTGCAAGGAAAGGGTGAGGATAAAACTTCACATATACCTCCAGCCTGCGTGTGCCCAGCCTCCCTCCTCTGTGCCTCCCAGCCTCTTCTGTAGCTCCTGAGCAGAGAGGTGATGGGGAGGAATGCCCCCCCCGGCAGTCTGTTGGCACGCAGGAGCTCCTTGGAAATTGGAAGGTGAATCGCAGTGCTGATGCCAACTTCCACATCGCTGCCTTGGAAGTGCTGGGAGGCAAGAGCCATGTGCCAGGTTCTCTGGCACAGCAGGGGTGCTTGAGAAGGAGGAATTGCAGCTTGACCCCCTGTGCCCAGGCAGCCACGGTCCTGCTGGCAGTGGGGCAGGGGGGCACAAGAAACTCCTCAAGCCTGGCTCACTGGGGACACTGTGCCATGGGGGCAGAGACAGGCCGGGTTCTTCCTCTCAGACCTGGGTGTGAGATGCTTGCTCATGTTCCTGTGAGGCTCAGTGGTCAGGGCTAAGGATGTGTGCACAAGACGTGTGTGCACAGCCCTGCCTGTGTGGCTGGAAGGTCCCCCCCTGTGCTGCTATGGTGGTGAACTCCATGGTGGCATTTGGAGATGCTGTGTTGTCTGTGAGGTGGGGTGCCACACATAGCGGGGATGTGCCAGGATGGCAGAGCTCAGGAGAGCCCGGCTGTGGGGATGCACAGCTGCACTGCTGGGTTGGCTTCCTGCATCCTTTATAGTGTGGCCAGGCAGTGGGTTGGCATCAAGGGAGATGATTCAGTGATGCTAAGGAGGGAGGAGCTGTGGGCATCTCCCTGCAGTGAGAGCTGCCTTCCCACTGGGAAGGACACATTGAAGGAGCAGAGCACAGCGGTGGGATGCGTGGCGCTCAATGAAACGTGTCTTCAGGAAGGGGACTTGGTTCTTGTCAGTAGTCAGGGCTTCTGCTTTAATAACCCTTCTTGAAAGCGCCAGGAAATGCAGGTGTGAGCGCCTGTCTCTCTCATGTCTCATCAGGGCTCTGGTCTCACTCTGCATTTGTGTTTCTGCCCAGGGAATCTGGAACCAAAACAACCCCTTCCACCAGAGTCTGGCTCTATCGTGGTGATCCTCCTACTGCCTATAGACTGAGAAATCAAGAGCTCAAATGTATTGCCAGTAAACGGGAGCAGGACAATCCCAGGGCTTGGGTCAAAGTCAGGATCCAGCCTGTTTGGGAAGTCAAAGGCCCTGCTCCCAAAGTCTTTCTTTGAGTACAGATGGAGGTGGTGGAAGAGGATGAAAAGACAACTGTTGACATTGTTCAGCCCAACATCTGCCCCATACCCTCTATGTTTCCTCCTGAGAGAGGAACGTATTCCCTGAGCACTTCCGTAACCAAGCGTGGCTGAGAACCTGCCTTTCCCAAAGCATTTAGTGCAGCACGGAGCAGTGGTGTTTCTGTAGGGGTGAGGGCAGGATGCTCTGAGCTGTGCTCAGCCTGGAGATCACTAGCACAGGGCAACATGAATAACATGGAGCCATGAAACCTGATGTGCAGGTGATGAGCTTGTGGGATTGTTTCGGGTTTTGCTGAAGGCCACTGATGGAGACGTCTGCGCTCCTCCTGGGAGCTTGTGAGCTTAGAGCCTGGATAAAGGCAGAGGATGGATTTTAAGGCTTGGTGTCTGTTGCCCCAGGCCACAGATGTTCAAAGCAGTGTCAGTGCCCAGGCACCTGCAGATCCATCTTCTGGCTGGCACAGAAGTAGAGTACACCTTCTTCCCTGTAGAGAAACCCCCAGACACGTACAGGAGCTAATACATGGAGTTCCTAACTGTTGCCTGGCTACCTTCCTTGACAAACAGCAATCCAGCCAGCCGATGGAGCTGGGCTGTGTGCAGACAAAACTATGGAGGGGCAGATGGCCAAGTGGATGGATAAATGGACGGATGAGTGGTTGGCTGCTCTAAACCGTCGAGCTGAATAAATTCACAGAGGTGAAGAGGAGGATGCTGTGGTGGGGAGGTGGGACTGACTGACTGCAGAGCCAGACCTGCAGGGCCAGCCTGGCCAAGGCCAGGTGAATCTGGCAGCTCCTGACCCTGCACATCCCCCTGCTGCTGGGGATTGCTGTCCCTTATTCTTAGGGGCTTCTGTTTCATTTCTTCCCTTTCTCCTCCTATACTTTCATCAGCATGAACAGTCCCATTAGGAACAAGTGGACTGAACCAAGGGTGCAGCATTTTCTGTTCCTTAGTAAGAGCCCTCCTAAGAGCATCACCTCCCTCTCTGCATCCCCATTTGCTTGGTTTCCAAGGGAATGGAAGGAGGAAGAGTCGTGTCTTTTAGAAGCAGCATGCCTTCCACATGAGAGGCTCCCTGGTGTAAATGGGCTCTCTATAGAAACCCCCCTACACATTTACTGAATCTCAGCTCCATGGTGCTCCTGTTCCCTTCTTCACTCAGGGGCTGAACCCCCAAAAAGGCCTGTAAAGGACCCTGAGGACACTGTCCCTGGACTTCCACACTTCATCAGTCCCTGAGCATCTGGACTAAGTAGCACAAACCCAAGTTCTCTCTCCCTGTATAGTGGTGGCAAATATCGAGTAAGGTGGCTCCCAAATACTTGGTGCACCAGGAAACATGTGGGTTGTTTTGCTGTGGATTATCCATAGCCCAGTAGTGCTGTGTTCCTGGCAAGAGAACTGGCTGTTGGGTGTGTGAGGCAGGTTCTGCGTGTTGGAGATGTGCATGTGTGGAGATGCACCTATAGGTTGGGACCATGAACAACCCGAACAGCTCGCAGCATGAAATCACTCCCTTGGGAAAGGGGCAGCCGCATTCCCAGGGGCTCAGAGCACAGCCCAGGCAGAAGTGAGCAGCTCCCAGCACCATGTGCCGAAAAGGGAACAGTTTTCTCCCATCCTGGGTGCCGGTCCAGCAGAGGGGATGCTGCTGCACTGCCTGTGCATCTGCCTGGCACTGACACCCCCAGCAGTGCTCTGGCCCACGCCGCAAAGGGGCTGCAGCCACGCGCCGGGAGCACTTTGCTCCCACCCTTTCTCACAGCTCTTGTTCTGCTGCCAGGCAGCCTCCGCAGACCTGGAAGCCTTCTTCCCTCTGCCTCCCGCTTCCCAGGTTTGAAGAGAGCTCAGCTGGGGCTATGTTTGCCAGAGACAAGCACAGGAGAACGGGAATGGATGGTTGCTGCTTCCAGCCAGAGCATTTCCTAGGGAAGCTTTAGCTGTATCTACAGAGCCAAGCTCTCCCAGGGCCAGTTCCAGAACCTGCCTTGGGCAGGAGAAGGTGCCAGTGCTGCTCTGGACCCCTTTCGCTTTCCGGAGTGGTTGTTTTCCTTCCAAGCAGCACTGCAGCACTCAAATAAGAAGGGATTTGCAATGCAGAGAAAAACCTCCCACCCGCCACTCAGCAGCGTGTGGG